CCACAAAGAAGAAAAATATATATATATATATATACATCAGACGTTAAAGTCACCATAAAAAGAATAATTTCACTCAAATTGTTCTATTTATATTTTTTGTAGTTGGTTATCTATATGTTAGCATACTTTTTTTGTTTAAAAAATAGTAATGCATTAAATTTTCTTTGGACGGTTGTATATCACTAGAACCTTTCATAGCTGAAACTCTTCACATTCTATGTAGTTCTCACTAATTTTTAAATATGATAAGTCTTACACATATACATAATTTTTATTTTGTTACATACATAAGTGGCGAAATAAATTCGCTGAGACTAAAAGACTCACGCCACCCGTTACGGCCGCTTTTGCAGTGTGATTGAGATTCACAGGTGTGTCGGTCGTAGCGGCTGTTGTAGCGGTCATAACGGTGCCGTAACAGCTGTAACGACCTGTTACGCACCGTTACGTAACGGTTCAAAACTGTTTTTTTCGAAAAAACACACAAAAAAAAGCTGAAAATGGAGAAAGAGGGATAGAGAGAAGAGGGAAGATAAAGAGAGAAAATGAAGGAGCAAGAGATAGAGAGAGAGAAGAGGGAGGATGAAGAACATGTTATTGATTTGTTGAAGCTGTAAGACCTATGCTATTCTATTCAGCTGCTGTCACTAAACCATTTTGTTTGTATGTGTCTATCTATATATTGTTTGAAAATAATAATAATAATAAGCGTGGTCATTATCTATTTGGCTTGGTTAAAATATGTATATATATATATATATATTTAAGCTCTTATTTATTCTTACTTTTGCCATTATTTATCTTATATATAATAGTTAGTGATTGATTTTTTGTATAATATAAAGTCATTAATTATTAAAATAAAATGTAAAAAACTCAATTTATAGTGATTTAAATATATGAAATATATTGAATCATATTTAAAAATTTATAAAAATTAATCAATATTTATTTTTAATCCAATAAATCTGATCATGGAAAAAAAATATGCGTATCGGTAAGTTTTTTTCAAATTGTGCGAAAAATAAAAAAATTCACGGTTCCGGTTACCGCAACCGTTACACTACGGCCTTTACACCCCGCAACCGCAACCACATCACCGCCACCGTTACGGCGACTGCAACCGCTTTTCAAAACCTTGATTGTAACACATATCCTTCATTTTCTAACATCACTTATTGTTAGCCTCGCCTCTGCACCATGTGTCACCACATATTCGGCCTGTCATTTTTCAGTACAAACAGTATCTTATTGAATTAGAGTTACTTATTGAAAAAGAATACATATTAAGTAATTAAGGAAATATTTTAGAAGTAATATATTTGAAAATTTTTCAAAATAATTTGTAATCTAAAAGAAATCACGTAAAATGGTTGTTTTAAAATAATTTAACAAGAAGAAAGAAAATTTTATAAGGAGAGAATTCCGGAAAAAGAGGGGGGAAATCTTTCAACTTTCAACCAATTTTTAATTTTTATGTTTCTTCTCTAAATGAGGTGGTTTTGATCACCATTGTTGTCCCTATATTATGCAAGCCATGTTTGACCCGTAACCTAAGAAGCACGGACACGACATGGACACGACACGGATACATCAACTTCTTAAAAGTGTCTGTGCTTCTTAGCCCATAACATTCAAGCTAACCTGTGGATTGCTAGAGCAGGAACAAAATCAAACCATAGCACAACCCATTAAAGCCTAGCCTTCTTAACCCTATCATAGTTATTTTTTATTCAGTGTTACCACAAATGTATATTCTTCTAGCAGGCATAGGTGTAAGGGGAAGACAGTGGGCTACATACTCTAAAATATGACTTGATAGGCATAAGCTTATACAGTGACATTGTGGGGCATTTGTTGTGGTGGTTTTAATTGTGATGATGGTTTTCTTGAAAACCATATATAAGTAATGAGGATTAGGTTATTAGATGCAAAAGTTGTCAATTTACCCTTGGAAACTTGTATAGAAGTAGTCAAGTAAAGGAATTGAATAAACTGTTATATGTATGTTGAGTTTTCAATTTTCTTTTGCTTTTCCATTCATTAGTCTCATAGAAAATGTTCTCTTTTGTGAGAAGTTCAAATGTAGTGTAGATTTATTTTCTTGTAAGGTTTTGTTTTCATCACAAAAATTCAGAAGTAATGGAGTTTGATATTTCATGTCAGTTCAAATTACTTGAATTTAATTCCCTTGTTGTCAAATTTCATCTCCTTGCAAATCCAAGATACGAGGCAAGAAAAGTAAAGATAATTGTAAGGAGTCCTGGAATAAATTAGAAGAGTAGTAAAAGATCATTAATGATAGAGATTATTCCGATCCTATTCTATTTGAATACTTGAATCACCCAATGATGATCTTGGCCTGAGTGGGAACCGAATGTAGGATGGAAATGGGGGTTAATTATTTAGGTGATGGGTGGTGACAGGGCCGGCCCAAGTGCACAACCATTAAGGCCATTGCCTTGGGCGCGCCCAAATTGGGAAATGCCCCACTTTCTGTAATGCCTATATAATATGTTTTGTTTTATTAGAATTGTTAATGATTTCCCCAAGAAAATTGGTTAACAGAACTTAAAATTGTTTTTTATTTTCTATCGAGCACATTTCTATAAATAAATAGTATACAACTATTACAATCTTCAAGTGCCCCTCGGGCATTCGTTAACAAAATTCATATTTTCTAATGCTTGTCTTGTAAATCCCAAGTCTTTTCACTGTCACAAGTTTTGATATTGATTTATTTTGTCTGTAGGTTTGAAAAATTAATTTCAATTGGTCCAACTGGTTTCAAAATTGAAACCAATCAATTTCCAAACCTTTCACTTCTTTAATTTTACATTTTCTTCATCTTCTTATGGTCATCACCAATATCCTCGATTTTTTAGGAGTAATTACGTGTAAGTCCTAATAAGTGTACTTATTATCTAATAGATCCTTTGAAAAAAATTTGTCATAAAAAAAGTCACTTAATTGTAAGTTTTAGCTACAATTTATAAAAATCATGACAAAAAAAGGTCATTAATTGTCAATTTTTAGCGACATATATAAAAAATTGTTACAAAAAATTATTTTTAACGACAATTCTACCAAGTCTTATTTTCAATAGGACTTAATGGGAATTAAGTCAAACTATTAGGACCTATTGGTAGTTATATCCTTCACTTTGTTTTTTATGGCACTCCCGAATTAAATGGTCATGTGTGAATGGTAGCTCACAACGAAGTGAACACTAGAGATATTTTGAAGAATAAGTAAGCAAATAGCTATTCTTTCTTGTATTATTTTCATGTACGAGAAAATTAGGGAAGTTGATTCGTTTTTTTCCTTCTTTTTTGTTGTCTTAAGTAAGGTTTTAAAATGCTGCTGTTGTTACATACCAGTATAAGTTGTCTCCACTATCTATCTCGGCCGCAATATTGGTGGGAATAAAATCGCAGGTGTAAAGATCGTTACAGTTTTGGTTCCATTTAGGGTTGTAATGACCCGTTATGATGCCATTATTCCTATCATAACAACACAGTTGGCTCCTCACTACATAAAAGCTCAAGTTTTTGCCTTTCAGCTTCTCGATCTCATACAAAACACACTGTTGGCCTCTGAAAAATCTAGATTTACAAGATTGGAGTCACCAATTTTCACCAATTCTCATACCTTGATCGTCAACCCAAAGTTCACAAATAAGGTTGGATCATCTTCTTCTTTTTTTTTTTTTTGGTCCCCAATTGATTCCTTGTAGATTTGTTATTCTTAGATCTTCTATGTTGAGGTAGGATTTGTGTCACTAATATCGTTTGGATGCTGCTAATGATAGCCCTAAGGGCTATCAATAAGGAACACAAAATGCCAAAATATTAATAATCCCAATACGCTTTTCAAATATCCCAAAACACTTTATATATTTTTACAGATCTTTTACACATTTCAATACATTTTTCAACACTAACAACTTAGCATTTTCCATATCTTTTATTTCTACAAGTTTGAAACCTGACACTACAAGTCTATAAACTATTAGTAACAAAATATATACGGGAAAGGCTACCATGTGCACCCCAAAAAGGTGCATATGGCATGCATCTTATACAAAATGTATAACTTTTACCACAAAAGTATTAACTTTTTGCTCATCACAAAAAATATCCTTTTGTTCATCACAAAAAATATGACTTTTACCACAAAAAGCATAATGACTTTGATAGTCATAACTTCAGGGTGCACAACATAAGTTCACCATTCATAACTTTCTCAACAAAAATCATAACTTTTGTTACGGTGTGCACCTTTTTAAGGGGTACACATTGTAGCATTTTCTTATACATAATAGTATAGTAGTGCATTATGAATTTATTATGACACAAAATTATTAATTGTTGAAAGAAAATATGTAAAACTTTGTTTATAATTACTTAAAAGTTAAAACCAGGATAAAAAAATAGTACATTTGGACCATATTTTTAAAATTAAACAATACCCATCAAAAACCATTTTAAACTTAAATAAATGTGATTGTTAAATAAAACATGCGTGTATCAGCAAGTAAAGTTGTATGAAGAAGAGGGTAATCATGGCTAGTTTTTTATACTGTTATGTTGTTGTCGTATGTGGTGTTGGGCGTGGTTTTATAGGGGAGTTTTTTGGGAAGGAACATGGTATTTTGTATTTGTGTGGTGTGTTTTTTTCTACAAGGTTGAACTTTCTGGTGCAAAGAAAAGTCAGTCATAGAAAATGGATAAACTAAGGAATAATAAAAGTAGATTGGTGGGAGATTAGTTGGTAGTAGCTTAATTTCATTAATTTCACAAGTGCATCAGCATGGTTTTCTCCTATTATTAAGTATTAACTAATTTCCCTGTAGGTATATGTTATTTATATGCCATATCCCATTAAGAGTTGTGATTTGCTTTTCTTATTCTCATTAACAGAATATATATTTCAGATGCTATTCTTGTTTACCCTTTTTTTTAATATTCTTCTGACTGAATAAATCCGGTGGTGTTCAGCTAGGGGCAGCAACATTTGACTCGACTGGAATGCTTTTTGGATCACAAGCAACAAGGGAATATATGCAAGGATCGCAACCTGAATGGCTTCACATGCAGGTTGGTAGTAGCTTTGACAGAGAAACATGATATGAAAACTAGGGAATCAAGCAGCATATTAGTCATCCATTTCACTCATCATCTTTAATCAAAGATGAGTTATATTATTGGTTTCCACATCATAGTGCAGTGAGTTCTTTTTCTACCTATGTCCCATTCTTAAATTTGTAATCAGAAGAAATACCATATTTTGTGTAGAAAATTGCTGTCTTCATTCTGTAACCATCTAACTTATTAATTTACTGTAATTCATTGTATTGGTTCTGAACAGTTTGTTAGGGTGATTGTAGTACTTGAAATTTATATAATCGGAGGACTGTTTCCTAACTCTGCTTCATCATTTTAATGAGCTGATACAAAAAAATCCAATCATTTTGAACGGACTCTGGATTAAGCACCAAATCTTAAAGAGAAGACTGACGAAAAAATTGTCATATACCTTGTAATAGGCTAAGAAAAATTGAGGTTACTATTATTTCTGGCCAAAAAGTGACCTTGTGATTTGCTTGATGAACTAATTTCAAATGCCCTTGTAATAATATGACCCCTTTGTAATTTATTTATTTGTTTTTAATGTAGTTGACCACCTTGTAATTTTTTTTCCCAGGTAAATTACACTGTCCTTCCTCAAGATTTTGAGAAAATACACAAAGTCTTCTAGTTTTGGTATAATTACACCAATATCTTTTTTAGTAGGCTAAAAAGACCGGAACTAAAGCAGATGATTTGAAAACACAATGATAGATAAGATAAGACATATATTTTAGTGTAAATAGATGACATCATCATTTTTCTGTCTATATGATTAATGAATTACTGATAAAAAGAAAGTTTGGTGCTAGAATTACAATATTAAAGAGCCTAATATAATTATGCAAAACTTGTGAAGCATATTGTATTTTTTTGAAATTTTAAGAGAGTTTAGTGTAATTTAACCAAATGGAAAGAGAAGAGAAGAGAAACTAAATGGTAAACGAATATAAAAGGCCAACACAGAGGCTTGAATTCAAAAATTTTCTCAACTTGAATTTTGTACCTTGTTGAGTTACTAATTGTTCTAAATCCCTCAACTGTTCAGATATGGGACTAACAATGTATATCAAATTCTTTAATTTCTCAACAGAACAAACCAAAGATTATACAATATGACCTTGCCTTCCTCTTTTTTTTTGAAGGTAGTTTTGTGTGCCAAAAGTAGCCCTCTTTGATATCAGTTCTCATTCTGGCTGTTCTTTTTCTAGAATAGTGAGACTACATATTCACAAAATTTACTTAGAATTTTACTCAGAAACAATAATGTATGATATACATGAATCTTACAATACACCAATTGGATTATTTTAGGAAGATGATTAAAAATCATCTTTCAGTTTTTAACTCATTTTGAGTCACATTATTTCTTACATTTTTTACACATTTTTTCCAAAAAAATTTAAACAAAACAAAAAAATTAAATTTTAATCATCTTCCCAAAATAAATCTCATTCACACACCTTCTTCGTAATTTTCTTGACCCTTTTGTTGGGTTAGAGTTTCTGTTTCTAGAACCCATTTTAGCTGGATGTCATAAAAAGTCATAGCTAGTAGGGTTTAAAACGAGAGTAGGTGGGCAATCTTTTTCCATTTTTTTTGTTTGTTTGGTCAATCTAATTCACAAAATTTGGAATCGTGAGTAGACTTGTTGGAGAAGAATCTGACCTTGGATGTATTCTTCAATCAAAAATGTTTAAGAGTACTAAAAGTAAAATTCTAATGAGAGTTCTACTTGTGTGATAGTGAGTCTCACTCCTGTAAATTTAGAACTATGAATAATTGCTATTCTTTAATATTGAGTATAAACATAAAATAAATAAAAAGAAAAAAAGAAAATACAATTGTGATACAAGCAAATCAAAAGAGCAAAGGGAAGAATAAATGAATCATCCCCACAAATCACCTACTTGTTTGATAAAAATACACACCAACTTATCCAAAAAATAGCCTAGTTGCCAAACTTGGATTTTATTCCTTTGACAACATCTTCATCTACTTGGAAACCTTTAATCAGCACATCATTAGGAATCGGCGGTGTAGAACCGAAGAGAGTCAATGGTAAGTTCACCACTCCTGGCAACTGACTATCGAAAGCCGTAAAAGCCAAGGCCTTTCCCTTCCCAACATTCTTCTGAAAATGCACAAGCCCTCTCGGAATCACGAAAAGCTTGCCGCGAGTCACAACCTTGGAATGAAAAACATTCCCAGTCGTCACAAACCCTACAAGTAGCTTTCCTTTGATCACCAAAACCAACTCCGTCGAGCGGGGGTGAATATGAGGTGGGTTGACTGCTCCTAGAGCGAAGTCAACCCGGTTCATTGATAGTCCCAACGTGTTGAGCCCGGGAAATGCACGAACATTTCCTGCTGTGACATTTGCTCCGAATACGTTTCCTGTGTTTCCTTCCTTGCTCAGACCATCGAAGAAGAAGTCGTCAGAGGTCACGCTGGAGGCGGGTTTGCAGGGGAAGCCATTGATGGAAGGTTGAGCTTCCAGGTCTGCAATACAGAAGTCCTGTAACGGGTCGGGATCAGCAAAAGAGAAGGGTATGGATGAAACCAACAAGGCAATCAAGAAGAGGGTAATCATGGCTAGTTTTTGATACTGATATGTTGTTGTTGAATGTGGTGTTGGGGGAAATTTTAAAGGAGTTTTTTTTGGAAGGGACATGGTATGTGTTTGTGTGTGGAGTGTTTTTTTCTACAAGGTTGAACTTTCTGGTGCAAAGAAAAAGTCAGTCATAGAAAATGGGTAAGCTGAGGAATAATAAAAGAAGATTGGTGGGATATAGTTGGTTTGTGACAGAGTATAGCATGATAATTACGTCTCATTTTGTTGCAGTCCGTTTTTCCAAGTCATGGGTTTGAACAATGACAAAACCCTCTTTTCCTTTCATTTGTACTTGAACTTGAGGGGTTGGTGAAATTATCACGGGGCTCGTTTTTATAATTTGAATTGTTAATTTTATAAGTTCCGTGTATATTATTAATAGAAAAAATTACAAATGAAGAGAATATGATTTTTAAATTGACTTATTTTTTTTTTCTTCTATAAATGATATATGTAGAGAATCCTACAAAATGAATGATTTAAATCATTAAAATGGGATACATGATGAGCCTTACGAGCTCATTAAATTCTTTCAAATTCAAATTTAAGAGAAACTCAACCCTTGAATATGGATATAGATTTTTTTGACACTGTTGGGAATTAATGATGTCATGGGATTAAGGTTTTGAAATTAATAATATATAGGGTAAAGGTTAGGATTATGTATATTGGTACTATGTTTCAGTTGGTCATGGGTGTTTGGGGAGATATGGCCTAGCATTAAATTAATATTCCTGTAAAATATACTAATCATCTACTTGGACATGGTATTTCTTTATGGAAAACTATTGAATTCCAAAAGGGATGAGATACAAAATGAGAAATTATGAGCAGGTTTAAACTAATTATTTAAATTATAAAATTAATACATTTTTTGTCAATTTTTGCTCATAATTTTAAGACATTGGATAGGATATATGATTCGAAGGGATTGATGATTCAAGGATTAACAGTCATACAAACGCTTTTCACATCTAATACAATACTCAAGCAAACATTAAGATGAGAGAAAGAAAATTATTTTTGATTATTGGATGGAGTGATGTGGCTAATTCCATGATCACAGGATTAACTTAACCTCCCCAAAATTAACAATATTATATTATCATGCGGTATTTGGTTTAATGGAATGAGAAGGAATAGAATGGAATGGTAATTCCTTAAGCTCCCTTATAGAATGATTCCCTTGTAATGGTATATGATGATTCTATTTGCAATGCATTTTTCATTTTTATTTATTTATTTATTTTCGCCAACCAAACATGTGAATGAATATTTTGATGGAATGACTATTTTGTTTCACTCTATTCTAGTGAACCAAACACTACCTTAAAAAATTTCAAACCAAATTAAGTCTTGTATTCCAATCAAGTGAGGTGGCTATATGAATTATTTTTGTCCATTTAGCTCTATCAAGTGTTATATATTCTGTTAAATTCAATAAAATTATACTATATTTTTGCAGCATTACATCTTATGTCCATTTAAGTTTTCTTCCCACTCTAATATCTTTCCTTAAAATGATCCTCTCACTCTCCCTTATCATTAGATTTAGAGCTCGATACTATACTATCAACATCCCCATCCAACATTAAAACAAACATGATATTAAAAAAAAAGCGTGTGGACCCATGGGAGCCTAATGATATCATTGTCAATCACACTTAACACGGCTATCAAATGGGGACTAATAGTCAAGTTTTCTGTATCTAGTCTAATTATTAATTCTATGTAAAGAAAAATATAGATGACAATGATAGACAAGTTGTGGTTGTAGGGTCAGAGTTTTTGTTTTTTTTTTTAATTGGGAAGAAATTTTTTATTATAAAACTGATAAAAGATCAGATCAATTTGGTACAGCGGTATTACAAGATCTAAAAAATAAATAAAAACCTCTATAGAAGGAAGGATCCAAACTTCTACAGTGTAGAAAAGGCTCTCACAAGAAAGAGAAACAAATCTCCATGCAAAACGGATTACTACATTTACAAACTAAACGTTAAAAAAAAAATCAAATAGAAAAAAATCAAATCCAAGTCATCACCAAATTCATCCAAAACTCCACTCCTCTGCAACCTTCAACTTGGAATCTAAAGACCCCACCTCCATTGGTCAAGATAGATTATTGAGGTTGAGGTGGTCACCGAGTGTGAAATAAACATGTTATCCAGCTTCGGCCTTCGGATTGTGAGAAGACCTGAAGTCAGATCTTAAAGTTTTGGGTTATAGGGTGGAGAAGGTAAGGCGGTGATGGCCAGATTGGTGAGGCAAATAACCAATCTAGGGGAGGATCGAAAAGAGAGAAAGAAGAGGGAGATCGGAGAAATGGGAGAACCACTGCCATCTCCCTCTTCCCTTAAAGGAAAATCTAGGGAGAAAAAAAGAGAGTTTGTAAGGTCAGATTTTTGAATAGAAAAGTAACTTGAGATATTGTTATTCAAATGCCACTTGGTAATTTTAAATGGAAAATATTAAAAACAACTTTTATGGGCTGATGTTAGTATTGAAAAAATATATTCAAATTGTAAATGACAAGACCCATTTTGAATTAGACTCATCCAATTTGAACATTTTAAAATTTGTTTAAATTTGTCCAAATTCGTAAACAAATTATTACATCTTATGAACTCATTTAAAATTAAAATTTAATAGGTTGAATATACATACAGGTTGGTTTTAATGATAAAAAAAAAATGCAACAAAATAAGAAACCACCATACAACCATTTCCAACACTATCATGACCTCCACCTGCACCGCATTCATGGAATAGTAAAGACATTGACCACCCTAGTTATAGCGAAAACTGTAGCAGTTGTGGGCATAACTTTAGTTTTGAAATGAATCATGTAAACCTTGGGTTTTTAGTTTTAAGTGAACTATGTAAACATTGTGTCAACTAGGTGCTAAGTTCGTTTTAGTAGCCAAATAGAAGAGTATTAGCAACTAACATGACTTTAGTTGCCAATACTTTTGCCGACAAGCCTTCGGTGACTAACTGGGGTGACTAAAAATTTTAAACGAGACTTTGGTGACTAATTTTTAGTCACCGAAAGTGTATTTTCTTAGAGTGGTTCTTTGTGTGTGATTTATAATTCTTATGCATTTGTGCTTTTATGTGTTTCATGTCTCTCCATTCATGGTTAGGTATATTATGGATTCCTTAGCGCTCACCACCACCACCACCACCACCACCACTAATGCTACCTCCACCTCCACTTCCACCATTCATTGAAAAAAATGTTCAACAAAATAAAAAGAGTTAGTTTAACTTAACTTAAACCAGTTAATTAAAGGGGCACGTTTACAAACAAGAACAACAACTTGCTCATATTATTTTAATATAATTGCATTTAACTTTAAAAAAAAAAAATTCTAAATGAACAAATTTAGATTAGATTTTTGATGCATAACTTAATTTGTTTTGACCTGTCCATATTCACTCATTTGTCAACTTTATTATGTATTTGAATTTTTTTTTCTTAATTTTTATAAAGTAGAACTTCAATCAACACACTACCATATGATTCAAGGAAGAAGTGGGAAGTATTGAAGTGAATGGTTCAAAGAAGTAGGAAAGTCGTGGTTTAATGATGATCTTTTTGGTGCACAAAAGTTCCTCATGGAAAATACATAAACAGATGACCAAAGAAAATTAGAGGAGATTAGTTGGTTTGTGACGTAGGATATAGCATCACAACATCTTAGTTATTGGGAAATATTAATCTTGTTATTTGCCAAAAGTGTTTTGACATTTCATTAGCTAAGGGTTATTTGGTAATGTTTCTGTTAGATTGTTTTTGAAAAAAATTTCTCAAAATAACTCAATTTTTAGGGTACATTTAAAAAATTATTTTTATATTTTCAATAACTATTGTCATAGAAAAATGAATATGGTACGAAAATTATGAGCATTTTTGAACTTTTCGTTCCCTTTATTTATTTATTTTTGGAAAAACATAAAAAGCGCGAAATATCTTGGTAAAGGAAATCATATAGATGAGAATGATATACAAGTTATTGCAGGGTCAAAATTTTAAACAGAAAATGCCTAAGAAGATGAATCTCCATCCATCATTCTTAAATGGTTTCAAGTTGTCCACTCTTTGGGATATCATGTTCCATCATTGATCCAACACTGATACACTTTGTGGGACCTGGTGAGGTGGTGACCTTGTTGTCAAATTAGGTCTTGAATTTCATAGCGAAGGCAAAAACAACAGTCAGTTTCATGGCCATGTTGCTAATGAAAGGCACAATACTTAGCATAATCATGTCTAGCCGGAAGGCGATCAAGGAGAGGTTGTTGGTTAAGGTGTTTGAGATAGACGTTTTCTATGAGGATTTGAAGAGCTTTGGACGGAAGCATGTGGAGGGGATGAAAGGTGCGACTACCAGTCTTGGAAATATTGACAGAGGGGTTGGGGGGTGTTGACTTGGTTAGAAGAACTCTTACAGGCTTAGGATTGGAGCTAGGAGGGGTTTCTGGTAAGGTATCCTTTTTCATGGCTTAACCCTTAATTCTAAGTGCCCCCAACATGGCTTCTTACACTGAATACATTTGTGGCAACCCCCACCCTGGCATCGGGATGTTGACTGACAAAAATTTCATCCACAATTCTTGCAACAACTGCAAGGACTTGCCATTTGTTTAGATCTTTAATCTTCAAAGTCTCCATAACCTATCGGAGATGTGCATAAGGATCAATACTTGCCCCAACCTCATTCTTGCTACTTATTTCTGTTTTCTCAAGGAATTTGGTAGGACATATCTGGAGAAGACATGATATCACCCAAGCTTGAGATGGCTTTAGGTTGACTCATTCCAATTTTATCTCACCCCAAGATTGGAAAACTTTTTGATATGAAATTTTTAGTATGTGATGCGGTCGATGATGGAGCCAAGATCCCAAAGGTTAAATCTGTCATAGTCCTCTAAAGATCCTCAATCATGCTCATCATCTTAGAAGTAGTGGGTTCACGGGTTTGAGATGAATGGGGTTCAGGTGCACCAATCATGCATAAGTCCATGCTTTCAGGGATAAACACCTCAGGCTTGGGTAGATGGACTGGGGTAATGTGTATGCTGGGGTCGTAAGGGACGACCAGTGTATGGATTAGATTGAGATGTTGTAGACGTCCTCGAATGCCCCGGGAGGAACGAGCTCCCGTTCCGTTCATTTTGGGGTCACTA